GTCGCTATGCGCACGCGCCTGCACAAGACGTGGTGAAGGTCATGTGCATCTTCTGGCACTGGGGCTAACAGTTGGTTGTCTGTAACCCTGTGTACACTCTTTTCGTGCGTGCTTCATGCTTGGGGTGCGTGCGGCAAGTTTCGAGAAGCTTGCCATTCTTTGCGTGACATTGCAGTTTTTTGCTGTAGCATTCGTTATTTTGCCCTTGGGGCAAAATAACGCACAATAAACGCTGAACAACCCTTGCAAGGACACATTTCTCTTTTGTATAACACTGATTTCTAGATAGAGGGATCAGCCAGTATTGGCTCTTTTCTTTCTAAGTTTCTTATCTCTATTTCTGATTCCTTCTGTGCAAAGTTTCGCACTCTACCTTCTCCTCGCAATCACTGAACTTTCCCACACCTTGTTACGGTATGCTTTTCAAGGCTATGGTGAGCCCTGCTAGCGTGCCTGCAAACCAGAGGGGTTAAAGCTCTTGTATTCGGATCGTGAGTACGCGGGTTCGAATGCCACGTCACGAGGACATCTTGTGGCAAGATTTTTTTCCTCCTTTATATTTTTTCTTTCTATTTGTCTGTTTCTTTCTTTCTTTCTAATTTTCTTTCTCTTTCAGTACTTGTTCTCTAACCCATCACGGTTGACACAGAACTATATTCTACTACTACCGGCCTACATTTTTTTACATTTTACTGAAATGTTACTACATCTTATGCTGGGCTAGAAGAGCTTCGTTCGTAAGGCAGTACGATAGACACATTTCAAGCTTTGATTTCCTCTGTTTTCAGTGTTAGGGAAGAGAGCCATAATTGCAAAAGCCTGCTAATTAGCCAATTGAGTGTTAAAAAATTCCCTTCACACAAGAGTTGCGTTTCTTATCTTATATGCAGGTTCACCGTCCCTGTTGGTCATCCGCCATTTCAGACTCACACCTTGAAAAAGACTTACGGTCGCATAAATAAAAGCAACTATCGTGTAACTTTTACATTGAGTTCTTGTGCCAGGAAACTCATCAGGAAGCTGCTCAAGCCAGATTCAAAGAGGCGACCAAACGCTGAAGCCATTCTGGAGGATGAATTCATGCTATGCGGCGAGTTTCTCCGCATAAATTTGGTGGACGCAATCCTAGTAAAGTAAGGCATAGAGAACGTTAATATTTCTCCTTTGTTGTAGTATTCGTGTTGCGAATGTGAATAACGTGAATAGACACTTTGCCGCCAGCAGGGATTTAACAAGCAACCTTCAGGTAACGCGCCTTATGGTCTTTTCATTCCTTAATTTCCCTATTGTCCATTCGAAACATACACCTTGTTCTGGTAGACTTGACGCCTTCATGTAGCATGCGAAGGCTTATTCACCAGCTGCCTAGGTGATGCCTGTAGAAAGTGTTCCAAACTCACTGCGATGGTTACAAGCAGGTTTGCATGTAGAAAAATACCAATGAAGTATACGGCACAACGAGACAATTAGGAGCACATCGGATGCTTTATCAAAAGGCTCTTCACTAACTTCTTCACCAAAAGTCCGTCCGTTCATCCATCCATTCATTCATTCATGACAATATCGTTGCACTAAATCCTGAAGACCGAGTGTACAGCTACGTTGAGGATTTAATCACAAGTCCAGAACTCCCTTCACAGCTGGTCAAGCTCCCATATGATAACAGGGTCCTAGGCAGCATTGGCACTCCGCAAGACACGACCATGTCACTCATAGTCTTTAATCTTATGAGCTTACTCTCAAATGGCTAAACGCGAACGAGGTAGGGCCTGCCACCTTATATGCCGATTACTATTACGTTATGCAAATTGTAGGGAAGTTACCACCAAATAAAAGTTTATCCAATTCAATCTAATACCGTCAAATAAAACAGAAACTACACTACGCAGTCGACGCATTGTAAAAATATCTCACCAAAACTAGCCTTGGCTGCTCGCGAAAAAAAGTAAACTTATCTTTCACCACCCCAAGCTTGAGGCGAGACCAATCAGGGGTGACAACAGACATTCTGCGTACAAAGAAATTCTGGTACACCCCGACATCTAGTTTGTTAGAATACTAATTATGTTAGTTGAATTCAGTTTATTGGCGCAAGGGCAATTTAGGCTTAGCTGCACGAAACACAAGGTGTTTTGTGACAGGCATTGCGTTGCATGTAATTCTGATGTATATGCAAAAACCCGCTGTCTTTCAAGAAATTGATAACATTTGACAAAGGAGTGAGTGGATCATCTCTTAAAAACAGACTCGGGTGCATAGGTATGTGATGTTTGTATAGTTCTGTGAAGTATTTGTTTCTGTTTCAATGTACGGACACGTAATAAGAATATGTATGACTGTAGACATGATTCACATTGCGGCATGTCTTCTTTTCTAAGCAACAAGCTGTGTTTGATGTTCGTGAGCCCAATTCTAAGTCTGCATAGAATGACTTCAATGAAACATTGTTGATGACGGCACTTTTTCTATTCGCCAACTATGGGCTTCACCAGGTGCAGCTTATTGTTTGTGCAGGAATGCCAGAGTTGCTGCCATTTCGATGGCAAAGCTAGACGGATACTACACTGGCTCTCTTAGAAGAGAATACCGATTTGTTTAATGACCTTTTGCGCTGCTAGAGAGGCGCATTCATCTGCCTTCTCGTTTCCTGGTGTCCCTACATGACTTGGCACCCAGCAAAAACGAACGGTCACGCAATCACTTTATTACAATCATATTTAGGATATCACCAAGTATTGGTTCACAGTCAGATTTTATACGTAGCACTTTCAGTGAACTTTATGAATCATTTTATATGGCTGCTTTTTTTTCTTTTGGCCGTGATGATTCCTCGAACTGCTTCCCATAAGGCGCAAACTTTGGCGCTGAAAATGGACACGAGTTCAGGCACTCTAATACTGACAGCGCTTTCCTCCATCACAATTCTGGCGCCCACGTGGTTTTATTTTTCGCGCCACCTGTGTAAACTTCGCTATAGTTTTTGTATTTATCCTGAAATATGTGAACTTCCTGAATTATGGAATGTGGTGCGGTGTGTTCTTTTCTTCAATTGGGTTAGTGAAAAATCACAAAGTTGAGTCAGGTCAGACCATGAAGGCAGTCTTGTGGTTTTCTGGCGATATTGATAACGTCATTAGAAATGTCGTATGACCGGCAGTGTTTTTCAAAACATAAAAACAGCGGTTTGATGGAATGTGGTTTGTTTGAGTAGTATAAGCGTGAATAACATTTTCTTGTGAGATCATGAAAAATATGTTGAGCTAGTGATCCGATTCTTAAAACATATATGAACGTTAAAAGCACCCGACGCTGGTACACTGGAGGTGTTCATTACAATCTAAGTATAAACTCTCAACTGGGCAAGTTTTATAGGCGCCAGTGGATAAACGCATACCGAGATTGTGTACCGGGTCAAGACGCCGAATGTAAGACTCTCTTGCGAGCCCTAAACAACACACCCGTAGTCAAAAATACTACGTACAACAGAGCAATAAACCTAGAGTATAGGCATAGTTGGCAGAACCCCAGTGCTGCGTATGCGTATAAGCGATAGAGCATGAAGATCACTTCATTCTCTGCGGCAACCATACATTTAAATACGGCAACGATGATACACAATTAACATTCCCACTTGGAATTCGTTCCGTGCGTCCTTTGTATTTGACCGTAGTGCATCAAGTGATGAGATGTCAAGGTCGTTAATACGCCCTTGTAATCTGCGTGTTCTTTTCGTGCGTCCTTTATGCTTGAGGACAATGCTTCATGTTTCGAGTTGCTTGTAGTTCTTGGCACATTTCATTTTCATGCTATAGCATTCGATCTTTTCGAGCCAATGATGAAACAATGCCCAATAAGCGCTCAACTACCTCTGTAAAGGTATTTGACTTTCGTATATATCGATTCCCATCAAGAAGAGATGAGTTTTTTTTTTTAAATCGCACAACCACCTTTAAGGAAAGGAAATCGCCAGCCTGTTTAGTCAAACATCGCTTTCTTGTAGTTTACCTACCCATATTTAAATTTGTTTTGAAAATCCCAAGGGGAGTAAAAATTCTTTCATTGAAAATGAGTTTGTACTTATAATAATTACTTTATAATAATGATTTTCGCGTGAGCCAGATAGTGAATTTCTTGGAGCCGATTTCGACCTATACCCTTCCACCGATTATGATACGTAATTTATGGTTCTGATTCTACTTCATATGTAGAAGTCCGACTATGTCTCTTTTCGCGTGTACATACGCTCAATAGTCTCTGCTTGACTGTAGAAATTACCATGTATGACGTAAAATTCAGTTCCTTACCGCAAGTTTCTTTTCTGATATGTGTGATGCCAATGTTTGTTACCATAATTATACAGCACATTTCGTCCACGAGTGCACGCAGATTACTGAAGTCTACTAGTGATAGAAAATACAAATCAAGTCAAACACTACGTAAGGTCTAAAATTTTCTTTCAACACAAATGCAATGCCTTTACGTGTATTCTGCCATGTGACTTACTGACTTACTGCCATAAAATGGTAGTCGAAGAGGCTCTGATGCACAAAATTCAAACTGAAGGAACAGGAATGTCCTATAAAACGTTAAAAAATGCAGAAGTCACCTCTGCCAGTTCTATACTTCAAACCTCGACGAAATAGAACACAAAAATATCAAACGCAGGATATTGTAGTTATAGCTGTTTAAACAATGTTTGAAAATAGAAACATTGTAAAGGGATGAATACATTGATGATATGATGCACTACGTAAAGGCGACTGAAATTAGTAAAACTGCGCTATGTGAAACGCTGGTGCACTGGAACATTTTGTCCTAGAGGAAAAAGTGCGAAAATTCTCTGAGGGAGCCAAGGACTCGAGGCGAAAATACCTGATGAGGTCTTCGCGTCCTGATAGTTACCACAGTCCGGATAATTAGCATTGAATTGCACTTTATTGATGCACAATAGGAATACGTACATTGTCAGAAACCGTTGCAGCTATAAAACGTATGCGTAATCTCACATTAGATAAATAAACATTAAAATACAGGTTCGAAGCACGAGAGGAGCACAGTGCCTTAAAAGATAGTCAAAACAATGCTCTGTTTATTCGACATCACACATTAGTGTGACGCTTAAGCACAATAAAATTTCGAAACATTGTGATATTTAAGAGACCATTGATTAAGTTCAAGTATTTTAGGTAGAACAGGAAAGATATTCTGCCCTCGTGGAAGCATGACGTACCTGTATCATGCCCTCGAGCGTCAAAAAATGAAATGCTAGTTCGCACAAAAATACCCACGTGACATCAACGCGGCACACAGCTAATTCTCGAAGGAGCACGACAAAACAAGAGTTTTTGTCACTGGAGGATGGAAGAGAACATCTTAAGGCGTCGACATCACTTGAAAGGCTTGCACGAGGAAACAGGCACGCGAGATTTGTTGCATTGGTCAAACAGTCAAGGCGTCGACAGTGTGTTGGATACTTCATGTCAGAAGATAACATCTAAGGAGAATGTAAGTACTGCTCATGCCACTAGCGAGGGGACTTTTCAACTTTTGCTATCACGAGGACTTCCTACGGAGAAGTTTCGCGCGATAGCGGTGATGTATCTCGGAGAAGCTTGTCGGTTCGCCGCTGCGGTTCTCATGTTGAGATAGGCTCTGGTCACAAGGAGGCGAACTTCTTCCAGTCGCTCCCGGCGAAGCTTCAGCGAGAGTTCTTTCTCCGATGGGGTGCCGTCTTCAGAGCCACCAGGTTTCTCAGAGTTCTCACTGCTCGAAAGGGCAAAGCGTACATGCCTCTTTGGCAACATTGTCTACAACAAGCAGTCACTGTAGACATGCATTATAACAAATATTTGTTCTCAATATCTAGTGCCGTAGAATGCTTAAGGTCTCGAAAACTCGAGAATTTATTAGTACCTTGAATTTGCTCATTCATGAAATCAGATTACGCTGTTTGAATACATCCCGAATTTTAAATACGGTTCAGGCTACTCATGCAAAATTTCTAAACATCAGTCGACAACACTGCGGTAGCTTGGGACCAGTCTTGAAAGTACCAAATATATTTGACCATTGACGACCACATAGGCGATGCAATAGACCATAGAATATCCTAAATACCCGTGCTTCAAGAGCATACCATGATATAGGCTAAGTTTACCCCCATGAGATGCTCGAAATACCGCAAATTACCAAAGGTAATGCATAGAAACTCATAAAAACTTTAAACAATCCTAGCAATGCTCCTTTTAAATTACCGTTTATAGCTAATTCTGCACACATGAAAAGGTCGGCATGTTCACTACCTAGAAACCGCTGAATTGCCACAAATAAAGCTAACCACTTAGTAAGTGATGTTAGTAAAATGCTGGTTGGCGAAATTTACAACCTAGTTAGTCAATTGTGTGGACTCAAACGGTTAGTTCATTACGAAATTGTTAGTAACCACAGCAGCAACTTTTTAACCATGTTAACTGGGGGGACTACAATTAGTCATATAGCCGTTTACGCCGATTTTAAATACGTGTGAGGTACCATATTAAGGTGCATTTATCATAAAATATAGGATGAAAAAAAAGTGGCATTCTGATCCTACAATAAGGAATGACCGCTAACTACTGACGGTACTTCGGGGTAACGAGCGCATCACAGCAATGTACTCATAAACACGACTGATCACATACTCATATGATCACACCATACTCAAATTTAATCCCACTCATATGGTCACGTATGAGTATGTGAACCTATATGAACAGACCACAAGCCGGCACACACATGTATACGAACACAAAGAATTTCAAGAATTTGACAAAGTCAGTTTCCATGCTCTAGCATCACCGAGAAAGCTATTTATGCTTCAACTTTGGTATTGCACACTTTGTACTGCTTAGCATCCGTTCGATATAAAATGATTGATTTCTACAGATGATCATGTGCCCTTCTATTTGTTTATTTGTGTGTCATAACATCGCACAAAGGTAGTATTATATGCTATAAACGAGTAAATACATGGGTTTAGTAATTCTTTACCATATTTTAGTGGGATGTCGCTTGTGGTGCATTTTCTTGTAAGCCACGTGCTGCGTTCGCCACCAGTGTCTGAGCTTGGTAAATACTTCCTGGCACTCCGTAGTTCAGACACTGGATGCTATATTTCCTTTACATGTAAAAACACCATGGCTAAAATGGACGACTTGCAACCGCATTCGTCGCATAACACTAAAAAAATTGGTTTATCTCTCTTTTTAGAAATCGGTATAACACGAAAGTGAAACGCATCCTTGCAGCGGCAGTTGAGCGTTAATTGAGCATTATTTTGCCACAAGGGCGAAGGAATGAATGCTGCAGTAAGAAACTGCAATGTCACGTGAAGAGCAGCAAGAAGCTAAAAACTTGCAGCGCACATTTCAAGCAAAAAGTTCGGTCCAAATGAGCATACACAGCATCAGCGTGAACAAACAGATGTCACAATTTTTACTTAGTGTGTGAGCAGTGCGCTCCTTCCTTAAACGCAGCAGCGGCAGCGAGCGAATTAGAGTTCGTGCTCTTTTTAACTACTCCACCTTCAAAGTGAACTTGCAATGGGAGCACTGGAGATACAAAGAAACTGAATCCCGAAATAGGCGCACGCGCGAGTGAGCTACCATGCTAGAGAAAATCTGTACGCACTTTGACCACGCCATGTGGGGGCATGCGTGCCCAAGAACGCACGGAGTATTGTAAGTACTGTTACAAGCTAGGTGTTTCATAAGCGGATACAATGGTCTAGCAGAAAAGGAGCCCGATTGAAACCCTGCGGACAGTAGCGTGTCTTGTACTTGTTACTACATAGACGAAAAAGCTATGTGATCGCTTGTATATTGTGTTATCCTTCTCTAGAGTACCTTAGGTAAGATGGTAACAACTGCGTTTCAACCAGGTTTACACCAGCGGGCGTCGCCCACAAACTGACGTCTTTTAACTAGATATAAATTTATGAACAGCGCACGTCTTTATCGAAAAACGGTACTTACAATAAACACTATCATACAGAAAACCGTAACATTGTTCACTGGTGAAGGTGGCCGAAACACTGCTGTTGAAGTGTGGCAGCGTGCCTCTGTTCTTACGCCATTTTACAAACAAAGCACTACATTTTAAATTGTAAAACGAACAGAGCATTTCAACATCTTCCCATTACGACAACATTAGGTAAATGCCGATGATGATGATTAATCAGCATTTACATTGTTGGTAGTGCGCGCAGACACCAGATGGTTCGCTTCCCTAGTTGCGGGACCTGTATGTATCCAGCAGCTCCTGGCCCCTGTCCATTGCACGCCGAGTTGGCAGGGCGCTGCTGGATAACAAGGTCTCCCATTGCTCAAGGGGTTGGGGATTCGGTGTGTCGAAGGGAACGGAAGGTGGGGGTTCCTTAAGTTCTCAGCACTTTGCCTAGTTGTGTGGTAGGGTGCCATTTTTACGACAACAGGAGAACGTGAACGTATTTTCTTGCCTGCTTCCAGCGAGACTTGAGCAGGACGTGTTTGGATCACCATTGTCCTCCAAAGACAAACTGCTGTCAGTTGATCCAGTTTCTTTGAAGACTTGCCAACTGAAGAAGAAAAACAGCGGACAAGCCGAGCCGTTCAAGTTCTTGAATGCAATCACCCAGGATTGAATGCTTTATAAGTACAGTCACACCAAACACGAGCTCCAATGTTCTGTCCGTGGTCAAAACGACGCCAACACGGCACAATGGTGTCAACATATAAAAAATGGTAATTAATGTAAACACTATTCGGCTACTAACAATTCCAAATTTAATTTCACAATTGTCGGTGCTCCGGTGCAGACTTGCGGCCCATTCAGTCATCACTACCTTGTTAGGAGTCATATGGAGTGGCACTGTGCATGATTTGTCATACAAAAGACTTCAAAAGCACCACTGGTGATTATGCCTCTAAATAATTTATGCGGCGAGGATATGCTTATTCTAGCTTTGCATAAATATCTGCAGCAAGCGTGTTATAAAATTAAATTTGTGGAAGTACTCAGATACTGGAGGAATCGACTGAAAAGTATGACTGCGATTTTTATGATGGTTAAACTTCTTGCCAATGGCCTTCCCATTATCTCAAGCTACCAAGTCACTCCTTAACGTACTTAAGGTGCGAAGCGTTAAATAAAAAGCTGCCCGTTTTTCTTCAACAGCTGCATACGCGAAACTGATTTGGGACTGATGTCCGTCTGACATTTCCATTCCTTTGGTTCAGCGTGAGCTTGCGTTTTTGTGCCCTACCCAAAAATGTGAAACTTCTATATTAATTTCGAAGGCATTATTGGCGTGCCTGTTCCGCCGATGTCTCGGCAGATGAAGACGCCATCATCTCCCAAAGCACTTCCGAGGATAGGAAGGCGTCTTATGCTCGTGCAAACACCGAGTTCAAAGCAGGACAAATATATGAAGCTATGTTTTGAACACTTCCACACGTAAATATACCAGTGCTGATGCTGATGGCTTGCACAGTAAAAGAAATATAAATGGCGTGCAGAACTCACTGAATGCCAGGCCTATCACACGTCCCACAAACGCACAAGATCGAGATGGTAACCCCAGCAAGATGAGTAAGGAGACAGAAATAAATTTGTTTTTTGGAACGGTAGTGAGCTGTAAAAGTCACTATCGCCACGTGCAAAATCTCTGACTGGTTTGCTGTGGGGTTTCGGCATGCAACTGATAGTTCTGTTGACCACATATTTCAGCAGGTGGATGACAAACTTTACGCACCAACACAAATCAGCGGGCTCGAACCTAGACTAAGATCATGGTAGCCTACCATCTAAACTTCAACAAGGGGGGTGGGATAGGAGAAGAATGTTTAGTGCTGTTTGTTTTTGTAGAACAGTACCATTTAGCAAAACACGCAAGTTTCAGGTATTGATTATTAACGCTTGTTTTCTGAAAGAAAAATGAGTTCAGACAGGCGAACCGCCACGAAAAATAAAGTGGGAAGCCTTACGGATTGCTGACACCTTATACAAAAAAACCCTTAGAACATCTGCCCGCACACGCACTCACGCACACACGCGCACACGCGCACACCCACACACCCACACACCCACACTCACACACGCGTGCGTGCGCTGGGTCCTAAAGTAGCACCTTGACAAAAGCCCATTGCCAAAAGTAGCCAATTTAGGGTTGGCGCCATGGCTACTTTTTGGCTACGTTAAAACTCTGCTTAGGCGCATTCAGTAGCAAAATTTAACATTTGCAGCTAAAAAACAAGAAAGGATGAAAATCAGCCACTGTTTTGAACCTTTTTTGTCGCGTAAGCCTGGCCCAGCCAACAGGCTATTTCACTCCAAAGCAGCACCACACAAAACAAATGTCAGCACTAAAATAAACCTGATCTGTTATTGTAGATTTCTTAATCGTTTCAGTGTGCGGCTTCAAAGGAAAAGTTCTAACATGCCTATGAACATGATAGCGGGAATGCTCCAAAATTTTCCGGTCCTTCGGAAGGAGTCTATCCTGCATGAAAAATTGGCCCCGTATCTACACGTTACACTGCAAATGTCGTCGAAAGGCGATAGTCTTGCGTCTGGACAGAGAGATCAAAACGTTTATTTGATGTTCTGCGCAAGGAAATTGGTGAATGGTATTCTAGAGGCGCTGCGTTAGAGTACCTCGAGCGTGTAGTGGAAGCGAAAGAGCGCATCAAGTCACGTCACACGCGAGACCTGAGCGCTATCTGCAAGTTTTCCTGGAAAACAGATCGCGTGGCGTGCGCACCCGTTTCTGTGATGGTGAGGCGTAGAACGCAAGGCGACGGGTAGTTGCGACCACCGTGTCGTCTTAACAAAGCAATGGAAACACTGGCCTTTTCGTGCGAGAGTTGCATGGTCAGCGCAGCGTGATAAACAATACGGCCCTTAGAATTACTTATGTATTGCTGTTCTAGTGAAAAAAATACACATACATAATAATGACGTTGTTATGGTGCCTCAGATATGCGGACTAATTGCTTTTTTTTCGACAATCACACAAGTATAAACCCTGAACCTTGAGCACTGTTGGTGGGCGCTGCGGATGGGGTCGGCCGTTTAGAGTATCGTTTGGTCACTTTGATGCCGTTTAGGGTACCGTTAACGATGAACAAACAGACAAATGTACAGACAGACAGACAAAAATTTTAGCGTCTAAGGTCCCCAAGAAAGACTATCGTTTTTAACATGTACAGATACACCTACTTTAAACTAAATGACACGATATAGTTGCTGACCCACAGGTTGGGAGGCGTGTTTCATAGACCTGTCAGACAATGCACGGCTACTCATCCTCCGAAACACTGAAATTCTGCCTATGTGCCTCTCTAATGGCGTTTTATTATGTAACACTTGACTTCTGATGAATGAAGATTGTCATACGTCATATAATGTTGACAAGAAGAATGCGAAGAAGAGGAGAAGGAAGGAGAGGAAGGTTAGCCAGTTCTCAGACCGGCTGGCTGCGCTGTGCTAGGGAACGGGGTAACGGAAATATAAGATAACCAAAGAAACGTTGAAGGAGAAAAAAAAGAAGCATGGTAGTACGATCCACGACGCTCCCTACAGTCTGCTTTGAGACTACTTGACCGCCAGAAGCACAAGAACGCTCTCAATGCGCTTCATGCCAAGGACGGTCTCGGCCAGTTTCTTTATACTCTTTCTTCCAACAATTGGCGATTGTCAAGTCTATCTAGAACTTTCGAAAGTTTTTCTAGCGCACCAAAACGAGAAAATTCGCTGAGAAGTTAGGAAAACGTCTCCACACAGCCACAGTTGTCTCATGTCGGGCTGCTGGCCATCTACGAATAAGCATTCGTAAAGGCCACCTCAATTCACAGACGACATAAAAATCTCTTCAACTCTGATTATTCCTGATGGAATACGGAGCTGTAGGTGTGGGTACTCTTTATGAAGGCGGACGTTCGTAGATGTCATCGAATTACACTGAGCGAGTTCCAGTTCTCGTGCAAGTGATCGAAGCTTTCTAGTGGAGAGCGATCTTGATAATGGTATAGCTGCACAAGGGGCATCATCATCAGCAGATCAGGCTGCTTCATCTGCACGGTCATTTCCATAGATGCCGCAAAGGCCTGGTATCCATCGATACGCTATATCATGCTGCTTCTCTTCAGCCCAGTGATGAGGCAGTCTTATTTCAGCGACTAGCTGTTTATTTGTTCCATGGCAATATGATGAGGCAATGCCCTGGAGGGCTGCTTTAGAGTGGGAAAAGATTGACCTTGTCTGTGGTGGTTCTTCAACTACGAACTCCAGAGCCGCATGAATGGCGGCGAGTTCCACAGCCGTGGATGATGTCAGATGCAATGTTCTGAGACTTATTGCTATGAACTTCTCCGTAATTATCACTGCGTTTGTTGAGCTTGCCGAAGTAACCGATCCATCCATATAAATGTCAATGCGTCCACTGTGTTTCTCATGCAGAAATGGTAGTATTGCTTTAGGGCCAACAGATTAATTTTTCTTTTATTGAACTCCGGGGATTGTTGTCTGGGCTTCCAGTGGATGTAGACACTACGATGGTAATGGTTGTCTTGCTGCGTGCGTGAAGTTCGCGGGAAGCACTGTGCGTTGTGGAGGTATAACAGGGAAGACCGCAGAGCGTGCCCTGGAAGTTGGAAAGGAGGTGAAGGTAGGCGATGAATTCCGCATGGCATGTCTTATGTGCGTTCTTAAAGCATCGACACAAATGTAGTGATAGGGTGTTCACGTGCGATTGCGACATTCGCTGCTGAGGATGCCCATCTCGGAAGCCCGATGAATATTTTCAGTGCTTGTGGTTGTATTGAGGGGAGGACGCGTACGTTTGTTATTCGGGCCTGGACGAGCGCCGGTAGGCTGTAGCGCATGAAGCTAAAAAAAGCACAATATACAGTTGAAGCATGGCTCGTACCGATACACCACATGATTTTCCCCAAGCAACCTTAGGACGTGGGTGATCATGACGCGTTTCTTTTTTATGTGAGCAATGTGAGTACTCCAGGGCAAGTCATGATCTATTACTTCCATGAAATGGTGGGTCCTTTAATAGCTGATCGTATGTCCGCCAATTCAGATGACGTATGGAGTTATTGCCTGGCGCGTAAACGCAACCAGTGAGTAATTATCAGATGACAGCTTCAGTCCCCGTCCTTGAAGGTAGCTTGACGTCGGTAGAGCTGGTCTCTGAAGCCTGGCTTGTACGTGTAGACGTGCGAACCCTGTTGCCCAGGTGCTGATGTCGTCTGCGTAGATTGTCAGATGCTTGGACCACGACAGGATGTCGATGAGGCCGATGAGCGCAAGGTTAAAAAGTATGGGGCCCAGGACCCCCCTGGAGGTACACCACGATAAATATAATGGTACCTTCTGACGGAACGAAGAAAGTTCTGTCCTTCAAATAGCCGTAGATCTCTTGGCAAACGCGGCACCCCAATCCAATGTCTTGAGGCGCCCAGGATGGTTTCATGTAGTACATTGTCGTACGTACGGTTAACATTAAAGAAGAGTGCCGCTGATAATCTCTTTAGGGTTTTCTACTGTTGTACAGACGTGACAAGGTCA